CATGAGGCAGCAGCGTTTGCTTCAAGAAGCAACACTCGGTTTTAGCCCAAAGCCGCAGCATGGGGACACGGTGCCATTCCAATCCCCCTCTTTCTCAACGACATCGGCTCACTTTCAGCCAAATGACAAACTGAAAGTTGGATGCCAACGTGATTAACTTCTGCTTTTACATTATTAAACTCACACTTTATTCACTAAAAAGTTGCCCAGCACTTGGAGGACAGGGTCTCCTGCAGTGTGCTAACGACAAAGGGTCCCAGGAGAGCTCCAAACTGGACTGACTGCAGCATAGGGAGAGGGCGTGGGTACGCCCACTCACTGACTCGGAAGACTAGGGTACAAAGACGAGAAACCAAAACCCTTAAAAGCCACTCCCTCCAAATCACTTTTAAACAGACCATTGAGGAGCTAGCTGCTCCGGGGCAGTCCCCAGGGAATTTTTTTCTAGTCATCACTTCTTACTACATGCCACATTGTCTTTAACAAAAATCAAAACGCATACAAACACAATGATTTCCAAATACAAGGAGAACATATTTTTCAATCAATCAATTATGTCCAGGCGGCTATTTCAGCCATTGCAGAAACCAGAACCCACACCTCCTAGGCTGATGGAAAGCTGGTGTCACTGCTCTCGTGCTCAAAAAATCCCCAGTTGGATTTTTTTGCCTTATTGTTTCCGATTTTTTTACTTATCTTTTCAAAGTTGCAAAGAATTCCCTGGAGATTAAAAATAAGCTGTCACAGTGCTCTGTGGCCTTTCACAGAACACCGGTCACTGAGTTCTCTACACCCATCCATTTCAGGCACCAGCAGCCTGGCTACAGCCAGAGGCACTGATCGTCATCTTCCCAAACTGCAAACCCTCAAATACAAAAGGGGGATGGGCTGACCCTGCAGTCTCTGCATATCCTGGGTGAGGACTGTGTTCACCTCCCCGCACTGAAGAGCTTCTTCCTCCTCTCTTCTCCGAACATAACCAGACCCAGCCCCTGCACATCTTAACCTGGACACTGTACCACTAAGGAATTTACAGAAATGCCTTGAACGCCTCAGTTTAAAACATTCAAGGTGACTGACACAGTTTAAGCGTCAGTGGATTGTTGACAGACGAATGGATAAAGATGTGGTATATAAACACACAGATACAATCACAAACACACACATACACACAAAGGAATATTACTCAGCCATAAAAAAATAACAAAATCTTGCCATTTGTGGCATTACGGATGCACCCAGAGGGTATTATGCTAAGTCAAGTCAGATAGAGAAAGATAAATACCATATGATTTCACTTAATATGTAGAATCTGAAAACCCAAATAAATGAACAAACAAAACAGAAGCAGCAAATTTATAGATACAGAGAACAAACAGATGGCTGCCAGGTGGGAGGGAGATTGTGGGGAAGGGTTTAGAAGGTGAAGGGATCGAGAAATACACATTGCCAGTTATACAAATAGCCACGAGATGTAAAGTACAGCTCTGGGAGCAAAGTCAATAATACCGTAGTGACTGTGCAGTGTCAGATGGGTACCAGACTGCTTGGGTAAAAGAGCACGCCATTCAACTTCGGCAACAAAACAGAACGCTCGGAATAATGTGAGGAGCACAGCTCCAGCTCCAAGATCATCTCGGGTTACTCTGGGACCAATGCTGTGAAAATAATACACTGCAGTGGCTTCTCAAACTTTCCTGTGCCTCCCGATCACCTGCGAATATGTGAAACGCTGATTCTGACTGAGGAGGTCGGCGGAGAGAGGGCCAGGGACTCTGCATTCCAACGAGCTGCCCAGGGCTCTTACTGCTCCTAGTCTAAGGATGTCAGCATCTAAGAATTCTGCAATCACTAGATTTGTTTTCCAGCTACAGCTATAAATAATTAGATCAGTTTGTTTTATTAAATACAAGGTCATTAAAGAGAGAAAATACACCTTGTTTTTCTCCATTATTAACTCTGATTGAGCAATGACATTGACTACTAATGAAATGTATCAGAAACGGGTGACATGAGCTGCCAAGAGGAGGGAACTGGCCACTGGCGGGAGGAAGAGAGCACTTTCACTCTCTTCTGCAGCCTTTAAATGCGGAACCACAGGAGCGAATTACCTATTCAGAAAATAAATTGTATTTTAAAATTTTAAAGCATTTCATAGGATATTCTGGAAGCTCAATAAATGTTCATTCAAATTAATCCATTTCCCAAGAAGGGAAGTGGTAGGACTTACTTTATTACTTTAAATAAGTCAGCACTTTTCTTCAAAAAGGAAATATCTCTTAGTTTAACCACCTTCTAGGATCATGCCAATATTACATGTCATAATAAAATTTTTCAATGTGATCACTCTTCTTTGGCACTGGAAGTACCCAACAGCAGCACACCAGGCCTCATAGAAGGTTAGAAAAAGCTTCTGTGTGCAGCCCGAGTAAGTCAGGGTCCTCCTGCTGGGGCAGGAGAAAACTGCAAAGAACTTTCTATTATTTCAAACTCTATACATTTGAGGATCAGGCCTATTTGCACTCTCATTCCTATTAACAGCATTCAAACTGATGTTTTAGATCTACACACATAGAAGTAATTGCAACTGAAAACAGAAACCGATGCAGGGATTGGTTGAAAATATGTGTGTACGTGTGAATGTGTGTGGACGGTGTGTGTGGGTGTGTTATCACTTCAGGGCCCCTATCACCGACGCACCTAATCAATTTTTTTAAAGATTTTATTTATTTAATTAGAAAGAGGGGAAGGAGCAAGAGAAGAAGAAGAACATCAATATATGGTTGCTCCTCACACACTCCCCAACTGGGAACCTGGCCCACAGCCCAGGCATGTGCCCTCAGCAGGAATCAAACCAGCAACCTTTTGGTTCACAAGCTCTTGTTCAGTCCACTGAGCTACACCAGCTAGGGCTGACCCACCTAATCTTAACCCTTATCAAAAGAACCTATGCACCACAATGTTCATAGCAGCACAATTTACAATAGCCAAGAGTTGGAAGCAACCTAGGTGCCCATCAGTAAATGAATGGATCCAAAAATTGTGGTACATATACACCATGGAATTTTATGCAGCAGAGAGAAAGAAGGAGCTACTACCTTTTGCAACAACATGGATGGAACTGGAAAGCATTATGCTGAGTGAAATAGGCCAGGCATTGAAGGACAAATACCATATGATCTCACCTTTGACAGGAAGCTAAAGAATAAAACAAACAAGCAAGCAGAATAAAAACAAAGACGCTGAAATAGAGAACAAGTGGGCAGCGACCAGAGGGGAGAGGGAAGGGAACTTAAGGGGAAAAAGGGGGAGGGATTTTGAGGAACAAGTATGAAAGACACAGAGATGAGGGGGGGGGAATGGGAGGGAGGGGGGAGGCCGGGCGGGGGGGGGGGGGGGGGAAGAGGAAAAAAAAAATGTACTTGAAAAGTAACCAAATAAAATTTAAAAAAAAAAAAGAATTACAATGAAAAAAAAAAAAAAAACCCTTATCAGCCCTGCCCTATCTGGACCCTCACAGGGTCTGTGGCAGACACGTTCTTCTTCATATAACTTGGTCATGATTCGGCTGTAAGACTCTGAAAGTACTAGGTGCATTTGCAACTTATGAATTAACGTTCATGTGTAAACCTTTAAACAGCTGGTCTGGTTCTGCCGCATATTGAGTCACCACAGAGCGACCACCAAGTTCTGCTGAGGCTTCCTTCCCCACATCTCTCACTCTGCCCTCCTCCACTCACGCTGCCCGTGGCCTGGCCGGGTTTCCATGCCGGCATGGAGTCCCCCTCTCCCTCTCTGGCAGAGCCTGTGCTTGTAACTGAGTGGATCAGCTGCGTGGGCTAAGGATCAGAGGCAGACACCTAAGCTAGAAGGAATCCGGGTGTCACAGCCCTGCCTGCAGGAGTTTTGGCAAGAGTCCAGCACGTGTGTCTAAAGAAGCACGGTCAGCAGCGCGCAATTCCAGCCCCCATGTCTATTATCCCCGGAGATATGGCAGTGGTGGGAAGATAACCAAAACACTGGGGTGAGGAAAAGGAGGCCTGGCAGCTCAGTGGATCTTCCTAATGTCTCCACTCAGCGCACAGTCCCAAACCGCAACAGATACAGCCCCGAACCTGAACTGACTCCCAGCAACACAGGGAGGGGGGGTTGGCAGGGAGAATGGTGAGAACCAGGCAGATCCGAGGGCCCAGCCCTGAGGGCTGAGGTCCCAGCAGGGGTGTCAATGCCAAGCAAGAAATCGAAGACACTCAGAATTACAGGCCAAGAAAATATTGTGAGGGTTGAGACAGGGGCATCATTCAGCTCACACACGTGTTCTCACCCAGGGCCTGAGCTGTATTGCAAGTTTCCTACCTGCCGGGTGACGGGTGTGAGGCTGCCAAAGTGCCTTTGCCCACGTTAGAAATGGATCGAGGTCTGAGAGCTACTGAGCTGGGGCTGCCACTGAAAACCAAGAGGTGCTGCAGCTGCTCAGGGCTGGAGAAAGCCCTTAACGCTGCCAAACTGCCATTCCACTTACTCAGAAACTCTGGGTACCCCTCCTCCACCACCACCACCACCACCACCACCAAAGCCAGCAGTGATTGCATTGCCTCAGTGGCTTCACCTGCACCCATTCCCCTGCCTGCTCACTATTCTCCGGCTTCGCTGGCCTTTTTGATGTTCCTTAAAACAACCCGGGTACACTGCCTTTGCACTGGCCACGCCTTCTGCCTGGAAGGCCCCTCCCATAGGAGCCTCCCAGCTCCTCTCTCCTCCCTCAGTCTTCATTCAAACACTCAGCTTGCCTTCCATGACCCACCTGTTTAAAATGATAAATTTCCTCTACTACCTCAGCACTTTTTCCTGTATTTATTTTTCTTCACATCACTGAGCACACTGACATTCTGCATGCTTTACTTACATATTTGTTTATTGTCTCTTTCACCAGATGCGCATGTGCTAAGAGGCTACGAAGGATAAAACAACTTTCCAGGAGAAAAAAAAAAGAGTATTACCGTCAAAAACAACAAATGCCCATTAGGTCCTTTTCTTTCTTCCCATTACACAGCCATTTGCTTCCTGATCATTCAAATCTAGAGTGAGAGTCCTTCTCCTTAAAGTTTCCCTTTATGTCTCTCTTTAAAAAATATATTTTGCTTATTTATTTTTAGAGACGGGAATGGAACAGGCAACCTTTCGCTTTGCTGGACGCTGCCCAACTAATGACCACCCTGGTCAGGGCTCCCTTCCGCCTCCTCACTTCCCGGTCTCCCCTCCCCCGACACCCGCCCAGCACTGTCCACTCAAGGCGAACTTCACTCTAACCAATAGCACCTGCCTCCCCAGGCTATTGGCAGGCTTCCATGAGTCAGTGCCTGCTTAGAAAAGCACTGAGTCAGTGCTTAGTTCTGCTAAGTATCATTAAATTGTAACCATTATTATTATTTAGTATGTGTATCTGGTATCTCATATACTGATTAAAATCTTATTTCTATGGCTAAATTACTAGCAAACTGAGGGCAAGGAACTTATCCTATATTTTGGAATCCCCCAGAGTACTTAGCCCAGGCTTTTAAAAATTACTTGTCAGGTGATTGGAACAAAGGACTTTTATTTTAAAGATTTATTTGAAACCCCCTTAGAACCTCTATTTAAACAGTGGTTCCAACCCCCACCTCTTCCAGAACTGACCTGATGTGCAAATACAGCAAATCCCAGAAAATGACACTTACTATAGGAACTTTGTGATATAGCATGAATAGCAGAGCCAAAATACTACATAAAAAGATCAAACAAATATTGACTCAAAAGAATTTTCCCCGAGGCAACTGTTATAGTCTTATCTTGAATAGAATGTTTGCACAGGTAATTAAATACTGCCATGGACTCAGCAAAACCCCGGGGTAGACCCTGCCAAACCGAGTTTCGCATTCCCACCGTCTTATCACTACGTAAAAATCCCTCTGCTCACGCCCCTCACCTATCACTGCAGCTAATGCCAAGTGTGGGATTAAATGATAAGTAAGTCACACAGCTCTTAACCCTGGACAAAAGAAAATGGAATCTCAGTGCCAAAGACTGCATTTCCCTATTACCTATCCCAGAGTAAATATGCTGTCTTTACCCTCCCGAAATCAATCAGGCTACCTGTTGACTTCTTGGAAATGCATGAAATAGCAAAACTGTGTAGAGAGAGAGGCATTTACTGGTTTTACAGAACCTGCCTCTTTCAGCCAAAGAGGAATGAGAGTTTTACTTCCCATGATCACCACCCACGAAGCCTGCTAGGACCCAGGGGCCTCAAAATTCCCCTCAAACTCCCAGATTGCTCTTTGGTCAGGGAACAGGTTAACTGAGAGCTCTCACTGGGCTGGCTAATATGTGGAGGTCAATTATGATGGGTGGAAGCCAGACAAGAATCAGCCACAACCTTTCTTCCTTCCCTGCAGTTGTTAGTTATTGAGCGATAGATGATGACAGACTTATCTGCGTGATGGTCCAGACACTGTTCTAGACTCAGAACACGAGAGGGAATAAACCCTATCATGTCCTGAGAAAAGTTGTAGTTCAGTGAGAGAGAGGTGCCCACAACTTAAATAAGAAAATTCTATATTCTGTTAGATATTAATGGCTAAAGAGAAGAGAAAAGCAAAAAACAAAATAGGAAAGCAGAGTATGATATGTCACAGGGCCAAAGAGAGGGACTGAAATTACAGGTGGGTGGCCAAGAACATCCTCAGCGAGAATTCACATTTGAGTCTCAAGGGAGTGGGAGGCAGCCTTGCAGGTACACAGTAAAGAACATTCCAGGAAGGGAAGACTTCTGTGCAAATGTCCTGGGGCAGAGCATGGCCGGCATGCTGGGAAACATCAAGGAGGTCAGTGTGGCTGGAAACTAATGTTCACAGGGAGAGAGGCAAGAAATAATATCCGAGAGGAGCAAGAAGTAAAACCATACAGAACCTTCCTTCAGAAACATAAGCCTTCTTATTAAGCACAGAAAGACCATATATCTACTACATTTTGATTTACTCAAAACTCTCCAGTGGTTATTTTTTCAAGAATTTATGTCTCCATATTTCAAGTGAACTGCCTCCTACCCCCCCCCAAAAAAAGTTATGCAGCAAGCCAACACATTTGCCTAGGGAAACATCCTAAGCTTCTATTAGTAAAAATGAAAACTGTTTGTGGCTTTGAATATAAGCTTCCATACATGGGACTGGGGCCAGATAACACAACAGAGAACACAGTTTAGCACCACGGGAACCTGGACGTGCAACAATGCTATAAAAAGATGCCGTGCTGGTTAAAAAGAATAACATGCAGCATTATGGGAGTCCGGAGCATTGGAATTTATCACAGGGACACTTTTTAAATGCGTAATGCTTTAAAGTCTTTCAAAAATTAAAATGCCAAACTGGCTAATCTAAACCACACCTGTATCCTGCCCAACCAGCTTCTCAGCATGAATAAGATGCTATCAGCCAAGATCTAAGACACCGCAGATTTTTGGGGTGGTACCGGCAAATCTGCTATCTACCAAGTCAATTCAATTCTGATCAATGCAGATTCATGCATCACAAAAACAGTTTTCTAATTAACAAATGCTCATGACAGATTTAAACAACTTACTGCAGTGACTCCACTGTTCTTAAGAGCACACAGTCCGTGTCACCCAGACAAGCATGGACCACAGTGCATCCCTCAAAGCCCGGGTACCAAAAATCAGCTATTATTGTTACTGGCCAAGGAGTCACAATCTTTCACTATGAGGCTCTACCAGGGCCATGCCTACTGCCCCACCCACAAAAAATGGGCAAATTCATGTTGCTGAGTCATTTTGTGGCTCTCCTGGTTTGGAGTTGGACACAGAAATGCATGGAATTCTTCACGTGACATGACAGAGTCTGTGTCATCGAGGGCAATGATGTATTCCAGAACAAGCCTGGCAAAATGTTGCAGACAAAACACAACCAGCTGTCCCCTGCTCTGCTTCAAACATCAAAGCCAGTTATTCAATGAGTCTTAAAAGTCACATGTCAATTTCTCCCCAAACTACCTTAAAGAGCAGATTTTGATCAATTCATTCTGTCTTGCACTTTTCCAGTTTCAGCAAAGAGCTCAAGAAACAAAAATGAGCTTCCTTACAGTGGGTGTCCCCTACCATCCAGAAGTTTCTAAGCAAATGACAGAAGACAAAAAGGACTTAACTTCCTCTAGGGATTGTCAATCTAAACAGCCCCTCCCTTCACTCTGGAAGACAGAACCTGTCCGTCAAATTAAAAGGAGGGTGGTCGTGCATCCTTCAAAAGTAAAAGGCTTTTCTTCCTTCAGGAAGTTTCTGGTCAAAAAAGATTAATATAGAATATAGAATATGTCCCACAATGAGTAGTCAATTAATTTTTCAGTTGCACAAAGAAGTTAATAAATTCCTCATTCTCACTATAAAATAACTATTTAAAACATTGATGATTACACCAGGAATCTTTTTAAATTACATAAAATAATAGAGAAACGGGAACTAAAGGTGGCATAAAAACTAAAAGTAAAGATTATCTGAGAGGACCTTCTACAACCAAAAGACAGAAGCAAAGACTGTGAAGCCCCACCTTATAACACTACATAAAGCCCCCAGACCTAAATATATAGGATAGGTTCCAGTCTCTGTTTTATTGCTTTTCTTATTTTCTTGACTTTCTACACAGATCATATATAATTTCTACAAATCAAAAAAAAACAATTAAAAAAAATCACTCACAGAAAAATAACAAAACAAAAATGTACCTTTAAAATGTTATCAATACACGTGCTTGGAAGGTAAATTAGTCTTTACTTTTCATTTTTCTGTACTTTCTGAAGCTTTTATAATTATAATAGAGTAGTTTATACTAAAAACAACTTATAAAAGACATTTAAATTATTAAAATGTCAAAAGACAAATTTTTTGTTAAGGGTCATAAAGGTATAAATACAAACTATGATCAGGAAGAAGCATTCGCCACTGATCAAGCTACGAGTCACAGTTAAAGAAGTCACATGGTACATACCGGTGCCTCTCAGACCCGCGCAGCACGAGCCCCCCCCCGAGGGTGTGTGGGAACACAGGTGAGGGCACCAGCTCCCAAGCTCTCAGGGGTTCCTGGTGCTACCAAGCAATGGACCCCAGTTTTAGCAGCCGGGGGTTGATGAAACAGAAAGTGAGCAGGGTCCAGCTGGTGTTCTTTCAGGAAGCAGGTCAAGTTCACTCTAGACTGGGCTGAAGAGACCGTGAACTCAGAATTCCACCTTGTTTCAAAGTTCGAAAGCAGGGTCACTGATCCATCTCTCTCTAGCCAACAACCCTTGGTGATTAAAGATAGTCGTGTCCTTAAAAGGGGGTTGATGGCCCTGGCCGGTGCGGCTCGGCGGATTGAATGCAGGCCTGTGAACCAGAGTCACTGGCTGGATCCCCAGTCTAGGGCACAGGCCTGGGTTGCCTAGGTTGCAGGTCAGGTCCCCAGTAGGGGGCGCACTAGAGGCAACCACACACTGATGTTTCTTTCCCTCTCTCCCACCCTCCCCCTCTGGCTAAAAATAAATAAATAAATAAAATATTTTTTTAAAGAACAGGGGGGGAGTCAATGAAATGAAGACAGTCATGGTTCCAGGGCTTAATGAGTTTGTCAGAGCACCCGATGGAAGCAGCCTTTGGCTCCAACTTGGCAGACTGCTTCTGGACTCCCCAGAATTTCCATAAACATGCAGTCTACTGGCAGTAGTTTTCAAAGGGCCTATTTTTTTTGCTACAATGATTTTGTTAGATGCCTAAGAATGGGAGACAGTCCATGAACTCAGTATTTATCAGTTATAAGGAGCCAAAAAAAAAAAAAGATGAGCTGACCAAGCACTTACCAGGTGAGTGAGAACACTGGCGTGCAGGGGAGAGCGAACTATTTACGAGTCAAAACAGTTTCCGCCCTTTCACTCTCAACCTCACACTCCCAGCCACCTCAGGGGCATCAGGAGCTAAAGCCAAAAACCACACTCAGAAACCCCAGAAAACCTCAGCGAGACACCTCAACGCCTAAGCAATCGCTCAGGCCTCCACCCTGACAGCCAATCAAAATGCTACAGGTGCCGTGTGTTTCCTAAGGAAGAAGGTG